AACGTGTACGTCTCGATAATATATAAAGTAGAATCCAGCCACATATATCTTAATTCTCCGCATAAAGGAGGAAATTAGTAATGGTTCGCGAGGAGTCGGACTCTTTACTAGAGTTCCTGACGTGAAAACGGGTATAAAAGCTGTGTTTGAGACTTGTTGTCTTGTCCGTTATTGTTATTGCGCCGTGTCTCCCGTTACTATGGAAGTTCTTTACCAGCTCGCCTGTGTTTTAAAAGTGTTATAACGGAATGAACGATTTTGTAGACTGCAAACCGATTTAATGAAAACCTTGTGAAATAATTTGATACAAGAGGGCTATATTCGCCTCCGTTTTCAGGATTTTTTCAAACGTATTTTATTTTGATCCACACGCCTGGCTTGTTTCTGTCACGTCGTGTTTCTAGGGGTCCTCCTTTCTCGTTTCCACGCCGGGATCCAGCATCGGGGGTCGAAGTCGAGCCCCCATCCGGTCGAGTCGGGGAGGCTCTCCTTACGGGTCTTCGCCGCCAGCGTATTTGCTTACACTCCCGAGCTCAAAATCCTTGCGCCCTTGCACATTTTGTTAATGTTGTCATGATCCTCTGCTATGCGTCTAGCCATCGTGGAGGGCGGCGTCGGCGTGATGCGCTTGTAATCGGAGGATCTGCCGCGGCGCAAGGCGAGTTGGTTGAAATCGACGTCAATCACTGCAGGTTGTTTGTAAAAAAAAAAAAAAAAAAAAAAGAGCTATCGTGCGGCAGCTTGGCGGCAATCCGGTGTGCCTTGCGGGGTAAACCCGGAAATGGTGTAGGTTTGATTGTTCACGTTGGTAATGACAACGTGCGGTCCGTGGAAAAGCAGGCCAAGTTTCGAGGTAGGAAGGCCGTTCGTGAACCCTACCCTGTCCCTGACGCTGTATGAAGCTGGTCGATGTTTTGCATCGTAGGAACGCTTCATGCCAGGAAGGTAAGCGAAGTTCGCGTTTGCAGTGTCGCAGTTCGCGCGGACGTCGCCGACCTCGCCGGGAAGCGGGGAAAATTCCATTGGTCGACGTGGGGCAAAGTTGAACAGGAGTTCGAACAGTGATGTCTGGAGTGCGGCGTACGGCTGCTGGTTCACTTGAAAGCTGGTTGCCTGGAGATAATCGCTCCAATGGTCGATGTCGCCGTTGACGTTCTTTCGCGCAGACATGGAAGGATTTTTCCGTTGGCGCGTTCGACAAAGCCGTTACCTTCGGGAGCTTAAAGTACTGTTAGGGATGCTCTGAATGTGCCTGTCGGCGAAGTGCCGCGAAGCCGAACGAGAGGTTAGGACCCTGTCGTTGTCGGTGATGACAACTTGCGGCGTACCGAATGAGAGTACGAGTTCTAGAAATCGAAGGACGTGCTCGGTCGACTTGTTAGGCACGGGGCGCGCGACAAGCGCGTGGTGAAGTGGAACGCGGTGATAAAATACCTGTTGTCGTCGGTCCTCGCCGCGGCTGCCAGCCGGCGACATTTTCTCTTACAAACGAGAATAAATAAGACGCCGAAGTACCTGATTCTTCTAACAGACGCACTCTTCACAGCGAAGGCCCATGTATACCTCTCCAGAAAAAAAAAAAAAAAAAAATGGAATAAAAAAGTGTGTTCCTTTTTATGGTATTTGCATCTTGCTTTCCAAATTCAAATGACTCCTTTCTCTCTCTGCTTCACTCTCTAATTTACACCCCCCACCCCTCCCCTCCCTCTTCCGCGCCACGCCGCCGCCGATCCGTTGATCCCCACGCCGTCAACACGCCGCCGCCGGAGGTACAGACACCGGCGCGCCGCCGCCGGCGATTTCTGACCGGCGCACAGGTCTAGATACACCTGAGCGTGCCTGCCCGATACTAGCAATATATATCGCCTAAGAACAGTTGTGTCAGAACGATCGTGTCGGGTCGTGTCGCTTTTCGTGCTGAGTGAGCTTGGTAGGGCGCTTTTCCTTCCGCAAAAGGCACCCCGAAAGCGCCCTAAAAAGGTTTGCAATTTAAAAAGCATGGTTATCGTGACGCGCCCTCAACCAGCTGTGGGTGCACCTCCATCACTGGGGAGGTACCACAATACCTTGCCGTCTCATGTTGGCACCTAATACGACATTTGCACGAAGTGTGTAATTGCAAATATTTTACCCCGTGTAATGAACGCCCCCCCCCCCCCCCCCCCCAAAATATGTGTCAATTTTTCGGGAAAAAAAAGTGCACCCATTGTGCGAGTAAATACGGTACTCTTGTTTGTGGTGGTCCCTTTTAAATGTGCGACGCACATGCCAAATAAGAAAACGAATGCGCACATTGCCCGATGGAAGCACCCAAAAAACAAAACTTTTAGTGGAGGGGCACGTACTCCATCAACGGCACGAGCAAAACCAAAGTAAATGCAAGTATGCACGAGCGTGCACAGACCGCAGAGGAGGCACGGCAGCGGCATCAAACGTCGCTGCTAACCATCGCCGCCAATATTCTTCTTTAAGCACGTCACTTGAAAGCAACAAATTACAGAAAATCAATTACTTTTGACCTAGAAAATTCGTAATACGGCTCATTTTTCTTTTGTAGGGCCGCGCAATCGCTGCGTTAAACAGAAATATTCGTTAAACAGGAATTCGTTGTAGTAGTCAGACAAACACTTGAACACAAAAGAGATTGGCTGGGATTTTATTTTTGCGTCATTAAACGGGTGTCTTCGTTATAGAGGCATTCATTATAAAGGCATTTGAATGTAGCCCCTATTTCGTTTCAAGCAACTTTGTGATACATAGTTGCGACGGTGGCATGCGTCAGAGTAGGTGCTAGCATTTAACTTGTAAGCATACTGCAATAGTAATTGCACGGAAAGTTGGAACTTAAGCCTAAAATTGACCGTCAAGGCCTCTGCCTTCGTTTGTATGTATACATATAGCTGAATTGTCAATCGTAGATAGACCTCAAGGAGTCAAACATGATGGTGAAAGATACGCACCCAAGATGATCACCCAAACCAGTTGAAAGCAAAGTAAAGTGATGCAACACGATCGCATACTTCAACGATGCGAGGCCAAAGTTTCAGGAGGCTTACACTGACGTACATCAATGACGACTGGGCTACCATAATATCCCAAAAGGTGCCCCACCTCCCAAAGTTAACCAGCCCCCTATTTTTGACATCATTCACTATTTTTTTTCATAAACACCGAAAGATAGCTTATATCTAGGAATTGCAATGCCCTGGCTAATGATGGCCTCAGCCAAAATGGGGTAAATTGGCTATGGCAAGAGAAAAGCAAACATTGCCGACTGGGAAGGAGACTTGTCCATGTTCCATTGCACCTCAATGTGAAAACAAGCTTGGAAAATCACAGAACACAAAAATAGCACTTTTCAAGCTTTTCTCGATCACACACCTAGAGTCCTCATTTACACGGACAGAGGAAGACAGGCGTCTGTCAGTCTCCCACTCAGTGTTGCAGTGATGTGATTGGCCGAAGCCATTTTGGAGCACCTTTCGGAGCAGCCAAAACAGTGTTTTGGAGCAGTAAATGCGGCCTTTGGAGCAACCAAAACAGCGTTTTGGAGCAGAAAAAGTGGCTTTTGGAGCAGCTAGAAGAGTGTTTCGGAGCAGCAAACGTGGCTTTTGGAGTAGATATTCTTAGAAAAATAAAAATATTAGTTTTAGTGCTGTACAAACAAAGGGCACTTTCTGTTGTGTTATGTTCTGATGTGACGTGTTGTGACGGAACTCCCTGCTTGTGTTTTTACTGCTGAGACATCCCACAAGTGTAGAGTGCTGCAGGCATTGCCGAGCAATTCCGAAAAACCACTCGCCATCGTTCCACTGGTTCCCTACGTGCCAGATTTTCGTCAAAAGTAAGCAAACATAAAACAATGAATTGCAAGCGTCCCGGCTGGTGCCTCTACCGTGTAATCCTGTTCGCATGCACATGAGGGCAACTTCGGCAGGCTTGCAGTTCCGTGTGCTTCGTTGCGCGAGCGGAGACAACGGCTGTTCGATCAAAACCAAAACCATACCACTCCGCTTCATCACCAATTGATTCCCAAAATTGTTTGCAAAGTGTTACTGTCGAGCATACAACAAAAAACATCAGCGATGCATGCTTGCCAGGCCGGCAAACCGACCCCCCCCCCCCCCCCACAAGCGCGTGCACACACACACGCACGCACGCACAAACACAAAAAAGAACCTGAGCGCATCGATGCAAGACATCGCGAGCCACGATCAAAAAGTTCTTGGAGCGCTTTGTGCAACGACTGAACTCGAGACAGACAAGCGCGCTGTGCGGGTTCAGCGTGGAGACATTGCCTTCTCTGCTTTAGCTCACTTCTCTTCACCAACTTTCTTTCGTGGCAGATTTTTCTCGTACCTGGTTCTCTTTCGAAAGAAAGCCTACCGAGAGAAACCTAGGTAATCTATACTTTGACAGAGCAGTTTTTGAGTTTAAGAGGTTTTTCATAGTAACGTATAATTTATAGAACAGGAATTTCGGCGAACATGCGGCGGTACTTAGTTTCATTTTAGAAAGCGCCATACACACGTGTATGCTCAATTACGGTACTCAGTTTAGTTTCGGTATTGCAAGGCGACCGAAATTGTTTTTTTGGCACAGGTTTGGAGCAGATTACTCATAATTTGGGAAAATGTAGCAGGATGTAGCAGGGTTAGCCCCTTGGCGCAGTTTGGCACAGCAATCGCATCACTGGTGTTGTACTTTCATAAATTGCCGTCCCTCGCCTGGCAGATCAGGCGACACCTATAGGATCACATGAGCTCGCAGCTAAAGCTTGCACGAGCCCGTGACTTGGAGTGGTTATGTGACGTCATGCGATGCCTCCAAACGTTTGGACAAATTTGTGGCGGCCAGACGAGCACGCGGCGGTCGAAACGACGCAGGTTAAAGACGACAAAGGTTTCATTCCTGCGCATTTGCAACGACAGCAACTTTTGGCGACCCTAAAATGCATTAAAGGGACCGGCAACAACCCCACAGGGAGTGCGTGAACTCACCCGCTGCTGCCCGGAGCATGGCTCGGAGAGGAGGGCGACGCGACAGAAGGTCCCGGATGCCATCTGCCGGTGGACGTACAGCCTCGACTTGCTCGGCGATGCCACGGGTTGGGCGTCCTGCACACACTCCCATCACTCCTCCGACTTCCCAAAGACCACCCTCAGATAGACTCGTTTTGAGCAATTCCGAAACAAGAAGGCAGCCCAAAAGGGGCGTAAGAGGGGACGCACCCCGATGTAGGAGCCCACGCTGTCCATGAGGCGTTCCAGTGCCCGAGAGCCGGGCCCCAACAGCTGCACGGTGAGGTCCCCCCCCCGGGGCCACGTGGGTCAGCCTGGCCCGGACAATGACCCCCGCTTCGGGGAAGGCCGGGCTGAGCAGCTGCCTCCAGAGCAGGGCGTTGAGGTTCACGTCCGCCTCGGTGGTCGTGTCGTACAGGATCACAGTGATCGGATCGTCCCTGCAGTCACCCGGGACTCACCTTTCGGCCCAGGCAAGGACAACCAGACCTCTTGGACGCGTTACCCAGTTGCGCTATATTACCCAAAAGGGCAGACAATCCCAATTTGAGCCCACATCTTACTTTGCCACTCAATTTGTAGGAGGTTTTTTTCTCGTCTGTCAGCAGACGACATGCGGTGTTTTCTCCCTTCATTTTTGTCCGCAAAAGGCGCTTCGTAGGGGATGAATTGCATTCTGCGTTCGCGTTAGGAGGTCGTCAACTAACACTTATCTTTACTCGCTCCACAAGAAGCAAATTAGATTTTGCTCTCGTTCTTGCGGCGACCAAAATTGGACCTCGGGACACGTCCGCTACCAGAGAGCTATCGCAAAGCCCCGTTCCCCTCCTACTACCGGCCGCTTTACGTCCCGGGTAATGATAAAAATAAGAACGGGTTTATTTCCCATTTCTTACCAGTGAACGTTCTATGCCACCTTGGGAAAGCACTGTCATACAGTCTAATATATTGAATTCAAAGGGGATTGTAAAATAATTCGATATATCATTAATTTGATATCCAAAAAATATGTTAAATTAAGCTCGTGTTGAAATTTCCTGGCGTCCAATACAGAAGATTGTGACAAATGGGAGCTTACCAAATAGAGCATCCAAGAGCCGCTAAATATAGAGTAGAGCGTAGTTGGCGGAGACTTACTAACGCACTTACATGCGCGCCTGGCCAGGACCTCCACCAGCATGAGCGACAAAACACGAGAAAAAAAAAAATGAAGGAAAGACGGGAAAGCGAGGCATAAAAACATCTCTTGATCCCTAGAAAAAAGTTAAGGAAGCAACAAAAAAGAAAGCCCCCTAAATTTACTAGGCAGCAAAAGAAAAATGATGTTGATTGGGGCGAAGCTCTGGTGGTGCTGATGCGCTGCGCCGCAGCATGTCGAGCTTTCTGTTCGTTTTCATCCATGTCAGAAAGAGAATGTGAGGTATGGAACGTGGTTATATATGCATTTGAGCAGTTGACCCCAGCGCCCTCTTGTCTATAAACGTTGAGCCAATGCATTTACCGTAAAGTCATCGCCCACCCTCCGTTTTGGGCGAAATATCGATTTCGTAAAAAGCACCGAGTCAACGCCCACCCCCGTTTCGGGCAATCAATCTCGTAAAAAAAGCACCGAGTCATCGCCCAGACCTGAAAAACTATGAGTCCCACAAATGGCAAACAGAAAAAAAAAAGAAAAGAAAGGGCGCCGTCCTGCATTTTCACGACTCCAAAATTGGAAGATGCGTGAGCAGAAGAAACACAATAAAAAAAAAAGCAAACCTATATTTATCTGGCAAACAAAAGCAGACACGTTTCCGATCCTTTCCCTCCTGCCTACACCCTCCTCTCCCCAAAAAGAAATAAATATAAAAGGCCAGAAGGTCCGTTTGCAACATAGCGCCTGGACGCGTGGATCATAGGGTCAAAAAAGATCGTATGAGGGAGAGAAAGAGATAACAGAATGCCGCTTTATGTTCTTTTTTCTGTTCATAACTGAAAGTCCGTTTTCACCGAAAAGATAAGTCAGGCCGCGAAACCGTTAACTTAGATAGGACGCGGATCGGATGACTAACTCAATACTGCGAATACAAGTGGTTCAGAATAAAAAGCCTCGTTTGGATTCAATTTTCTTTGTCCAAAACCTACTCCGGCCGACTTGGCATTCTTTGAGAACGTCGCGACCACTCCGCGCGAAGTCTGAGTATGTTTATAGAACACCGCTTCCTTTTGTTCCTAACTGAAAGTCCGTGTTCGCCCAAAAGATAAAAAACGCCCATCGGTAAACCGCAAAGGGGGCAAACACACAGGCATTCTTTGCGAATGCCACAACCGCCGTGTGCCTACCGGCAGTATAAGCAGTATAAGCCTGGAAACAAAGCGTCATTTTCCTTTCCCAAAGCATCACCCCCCCCCCCCCCCCCTCCCCACACACACAACACGACCAACTCTATAAAGGGCGACCAGGTCAGCTCTCCCCTCTCTACGGGGGCGCGTGTACCGGAAAATACCACGTGACCACGGCTGGGGACAGCGAAATCCGCCAGGCGCCGCCGCGTATCATCTCCAAATGCACGCGCGGTCACACGCGACGGGCAGCGGTTGTGTTGATAAAACCCACGATTTTGATTGTAACCTTTTCTGTCGACAACCGCATAGCTTTCTTGACATGTTCTGTGAACAGAGTAAAGCGACAGCGCTTTCTATTGCCGGTCTATTAATTAAGTTGTTTATTTTTTTCCTTTGAGAAGCGCTAAGTTCACGTGAAGCCAACGGACACCAATGGGAGTGTTTGCTTATGAATATAGCTTCCCGAACGTACAGTGTTTTTTCTCACTTAATACGACCGGCTTCAGTTTGATACCTTTTGTGAAGAATGCACACCCAGAAATACTCCAAATTTCAATAAAAAGATATTAGTTCCGGCTTTAGAACATGGCTCTTGTCCGTTCATATTTTTTTTGCCGGGCTAGTAATGAACGTACTATATGGTATACATGAAGAAAGGCAAAACCGTAAAAATGTTTAAAATAGACCATTAAAATAGGCAGACTCGCAACAATGATTAAAATAGGAGAGACAGAGACAAGCCGTATATTTTTTATTATTCTTTTATTTTCACTAGGACAAAGACAACTTCTTTATTAGTGACACACTAACTCGAAAACAGTAACGAATACAATAAACAGTATCAGATAAACAAACGACGTCGAACATGCTCATAATTAGAATATACACCCTGTCAGCAAGTTCCGCGTTATCTGAAATTCGCGACCACTAATTCCGATGAATGACGGCTGATCCGGTACGTAGGTGAATCAGGAAGAGTGGTTGTTTGGGCGAGTTGGTTTGACATCTTATATAATCTTGTGCACAACAAATACGAAGACAAAAGCAGAGAAGAGGACACAACAAGGCACGATGCGCCTTGTTGTGTCCTCTTCTCTGCTTTTGTCCACGTCTTTGTTGCGCACAAGATTATATAAGGTGTATCAGCATCACTGCATATTTAAATAAACGCTCGAAATGAGGAAGGTTATATACAGCGTCCAACATTCGCAACACGGCGTGTAAAGGATGACGCTGTAAACTTATATGTACCACGACCTATTTTGGGTTATGTACATGGAGAGAACCTATTTTTTCTTTACGCTACATAGTTTGGTGGGCAACTGATTCGCCTTCTGCTTGGCAAGAGATTTTCTTCAGCCAGTCGTTCCGGATCTCCGTCACCGGGAACTCGCGGAAAGCGACCCCCGTTGAAGTCCACGTGCTCGACTTGCACAGCGCACACAGCAGAAGACCATCACAGGCTCGCAGCCCGTCGTTGAGTTCCACTTTACCATTAACGTTGAGCTATTTTACAGCCAGAAAAACCACGCGTCCACGCGTGAACGTGCCAAAAGACAGCCTGTACTAGCTTCCCCAGGCTTCCCGAGCGTACTAAGCAGCGGGGAAGTGGAGATTCTAAACAGCGCCAGCGGGAGCAGCGGGAACTAGGCAAACTAAAAAGAACTGAACAAGCAAAACAAAAAGCGGCGCGCTGGGGCAGGAGAAGATGAGCTGGTCGCCCATTATAGAGTTGGTCGTGACACACACACAAGCCAATCAGGCGCCGGCGCAGTGCGTAACCGGTGGCTGCGTTCTGAGAACAACCAATGGCTGCGCTCCGCGTCGGTGCCCAATTGGCCTTGGCCGCCCGCAGCTCCGGTTGTACTGCCACAGAAAGTTGTCCCGGAGCCGCGCGCGCGCACGCACAAACTCGAAGGTCATTGAGTTTGTGCGTGCGCGCGCTTTCCGCGGCAACGGTTGCGCCCGCGGAGAGAGCCTTTTTATGGTTTTCGCTTTTGTCATCTTATTTTTGCTTTTGTACTGGGTTTGCTTTAGGCGTCGGTTAAAGGCTGCCGGTTTGCTTGGTTCCGAAGTCAAAAAGGAAGGGGGGCCCGCTTTCCTTTCGGCTTTCGTCACCTTTGCTCGGTCACTGTGGCTTGCGATTTTTCTTTTCTTTTTCTTTTGTTCGTAATTCTTTTTTTTTTTTTTCCGTTCACGTCGGATTGAAGGCTGCAGCAGTCGTGGATTCGAATTGCGCTTGCTTGGAGGAGGCGGAAACGAGCTACCCGCGAAGCAGTGGATTTAGCTCGACAGTAAAATGAGTCGCAAGTAAGATACCAACCCGAGATTTGAGTTCAGTTAGTCTCCTGTCTAGCTTCGCTATACACAGACAAAAAAAATCCCATTTTTAAACTTTTTCGAAACTTTTTTAGCTCGGTACCCGAGTCATGGCCCACCCCACAATTTTTGAGAATTTCAGGCGGTGGATGGGTGGGCGTTGACTCGGGATATTACGGTAATTATTTATTTATTTCGGGTTACCCCGCAGCGCCCGAAGGCATTATTGCGAGGGGGGGGGGGGGGGGGGGGGTACATAGTTGTGAGGGTAGAATACAAACGTGCATATGTACCAAAAAAACAAGAAAAAACACAAGCCCACAGGAAAACACACTCAATCAAAAGCAAGCCCGGAATATGATAAAAGAAACTTTGGTTACTCGCATTCCAGGTACGTGCCAGATAAAAGCATCAGCTGAGGAAAATATGCGCATTTTCCTCAGCTGATGCAAAGTTCAACGCAATTATATACGCACTTGACCACAGCGCCCTCTCCTGTATAGACGTTGAGCGGCTACATGCAACGTTTCATCCACGACATTCCCAGCTCTTGAGTTACTACCACATCTCAGAGCCCCCTACTCGTCCCGCAGTCGTGGCCAAGTGGTCAAGGCGACAAACTAGAAATTCATTGGGGTCTCCCCGCACAGGTTCGAATCCTGTCGACTGCGCAAACGTTTTTTCTTTTCATCAATTTTTTTTTTTTGCCCTACATGAGCACGTGAGCATGTGCTCGAGCACGAGCACGAGCACCAGCAAGATCGATGTGAGCACGGACGCTAGACGGACAAGGCTAGACCCTAACGAGCTTCGCCCCTAAAAATTTCTTTCTTAAATTGTTTTCCAACTTATTATATTTTTTGTAAAGATACGTTCATTCAAATTTAAGCGACTAGGACAGTGCTAAAGAGATCTGGAACGAATCAAGGAGCTCACCTGCTGACCACCTCGGCCACCAGGCACTTGCCCACCACCAGGTCCGCCAGGAGGCTCCCGGCCCGCTCGTCTCCCGCAAACTCCAGCAGGTCGTCCAGGCGGCACTGCACCGCCTGCCCGCCAAAGCAAAAGTCCATTTCCAACCTGGCAGTGGTCCCAACCGTTGGGACCACATCCCTTGCTGCAGACTCTCTTCCACCCGAGGGAAGTCCCTCTTGCCAATGTCCTAGCCGCCGAAGCCGTCAACCCAATCCGCGGTATAAACACTGTTTCCTGTCCTAGTGCGTTCTTTCACCGCACGTGGCAGCTGTCGGGAAATGAGAAAATATTCCACGAGTCGTCTTAGCGAATTTCCCCGCCTCCCGTCAAGACCCCGACTTGGGCCCCTCGGTTCTCGAGCTGTTTCACGCAGCATTCCCGGAGGACATTGCCAATGGTCTGTACCTATACTTTGGATGCAGAATGCATCGGCGGTTCCTTGAGTGGAACAAAGGGGTCTGTAAGAGCTCAAAGTTTGAGGACTACTGCCCTAGAATGTGCGAAATTTAAAGATTGTAGACAGCTGTCAAGCCTCCTAGAATGCTCTCGGTGGCAATCGCTATGCCCTAGACCAGTGGTCGGCAACCTTTTGGCGAAGCGGGCCGAGTCGCCGCAAAGCCAAGGCGGAACGGGCCGGACGGCAAGCAGCGGGGGAGGGGGGGGGGGGGGGGGGGTAGTTAAAATTTAAAAAAAAGCACTTGCACGAACTTACATTGACGTACATAAATCGAAAATGAACAGTTCTTTATTTCACGACAAACAACATGAGATACAACATTTCCACGAAAACCTAGAGACTCCTCTCAGCGAGACTTTAGGTGCTGAACTGCGCTCGCCAAACTACGAACATCCATATTCAAGCTGCTAACTGCAAGTCGCAAAACATTGTGGAGGTTCTCGTCAGTCATTCGTGAGCGGAAGTTGGATTTTATGCACTTCATTTGTGAAAAAGTCTGCTCGCAGACGGGCAGCGAATTAGTCAAATTTATTTTTTTTTTCTTTAGCTGACTGCATAGGAGGGAGGGGGTGTTACCGGGAGGCTGAGGGCCGTATGATACTACCTCGAGGGCCACATCCGGCCCGCGGGCCGCTGGTTGCCGACCACTGCCCTAGACGAACAATAGAACGTCGTTTGTGGCGATTGCAGTGCCTTCGGGGGGGTCGCCATCTTCTCGAACTTCCGTGCAACGGGCCGTTTCCCAACGACGCTCTTCTAAAGCTTGTCCACCGACGGGTCTACGTCCTCCGTGCCTAATTCACCAGATCAAGAGTTGCACAATGGGCACAACTTCTCTCTCTCACATTCATATATACAGGGTGTTTTAAACATTGGCTAAAAAAAAAGCCTGAAACCTACACTTGCGCAGTTTGTGCATGCTGATTTAAAAGGTTAAAAAGCACAAACAAAACAAGGACAATTAAGGAAGAAAGATGACAGGACGGGCACTAACTCTGATTTTATTAGAAAAATAATCGTCACTTACATATACAAAATCAATCGTCACCACCTACCATACAACCAATCACCACTCTCACCGGCAGCTATCTAGAAAAGTTACCGTATTTACTCGCATAATGAACACACTTTTTTTCCCGAAAAATTTACACATATTTGGGGGGGGGGGACATTTCTGAAACTGCGCACTGCATGCTATTTGGATCGGGCGACGACGAGAACTGTGTAAACCCTCGATTGCAAGCTCCCCGCAAAAGCTTGGAATCATTCCTTGTGCATAGAATCGGCTCAAGATATAGAGAAAGGAAGGAGAAATTACAAACCGGAGAAGGGAAAAGGCCTTATATATAGCCTGGCGACGGCCGTCCCCTTGCCTTCCTCTCCAAACGTGTTCAATTGGTGTTATCCACAAACACAAATCTGCCAGCTAGGCTCCAACCCAGATCTGTGTATGAGCACCAATTTTAAGGGCAAAAATGGGGAGAAAAAAAATGACCGCATCTCCACGTGGTGATTGATGTCGATTGGGGCGAAGCTCTGGTGGTGCTGATGACACTGATTTTGTTCATAGGTAGTGCAGATGCCAATGCATGCAAAGTTTAAGGCGATTATATACGCATTTGACCGCAGCGCCCTCTCCTGTATCGACGTTGAGCGGCTAAATGCAACGTTTCATCCATGACATCCCAGCTCTTGAGTTACTACCACATCTCAGAGCCTCCTACTCGTCCCGCAGTCATGGCCGGGTGGTTAAGGCGATGGACTAGAAATCCACTGGGGTCTCCCCGCACAGGTTCGAATCCTGTCGACTGCGCAAACATTTTTTCTTTTTTTAAGAAGACAGATGGGATGGCAATCAATCTGAGTACAGACGCCGGACAAGGCTAGACCCTAAGGAGCTTCACCCCTAAAAACGTGCTATTGGGTCTTTACGGTACTGTGAAGTGGCACACCGCCGTCGACGGCCAAGGAGTAGCGACAATTCCCGCATTTTGGAACCACTTACCTGGAAGGGGAGGCTCAAGAACCGGGGATCCAACTCCTGCAGCTTCAACACGTCCACCGCATCAATGTCGCCGTGGTCCACGAAGTAGCAGTCCGCCTGGACAGAGCCGACGAGGCAACCCAGACCCTTTTAAAGGGACACGGTATTTATGCTCGCCAAGGTTTTTCTCCCCACGTCACATTTGAGAGTCCAACCACCTGAAACTTAATTTGCGGCTCAAAATTCGTTTTCTTTCCACCCGAAAACCGCCGATCGAGAACTGGCCGGCTTGAGCCGCACTCACTCTCTTTTCGTGGTCATGTGCCATTTTCTATGGTTTAGGCACACACACAAAATATAATCGAAGTCGCGGGTGATCGAAGGGGCACGCTCAATGTTAAAAATAGAAAACAATAGGATACAGTCTAAGCTTCGTTATAACAGACCTTGATTTTGACCAAGATTTCGGTCTGCTGTACGAGGAGTATGTTGTGTGCAGATAGGAAGATGAGTCAATGGCATGTAGAGGAAAACCAACCAAACTTCACAAATCGGTATGTTATATCCAAATGTCTGTTGTAACCAGGTCTGTTGTAATCAGCTTGGGCTGTACCCATTTTTTGTGGCTTCTGAAAAACTGCAAATACTTTAGATTGAAAAAAAGAAAGGTCCACAGAGAAGTGGAAGCAGCGTGCATCCTCCGTATGGCGGCTGGAGTAGCGGGCTGGACGGCTGAACCGGCAAAGCAATGGCGGCGGACAACAGGCGTGGGTCCTCTACTCTGTCGTTTGCGGTGCCAGCAAATCTGTCTAGCTTTATAGATCGAAACAATTAGGATCTATTCGCCCGACCACCAAGCTGATTTGCACGAAAGCGTCGCCGAGTCGTCGCCCCTTCTCCTGGCTGAAGATATCTCTCGTCTTACATAGAACAATTCGTAAGAGCTTAAAAAACGTGCGTCAAGCACAAAGCGTTTTATGTAGGGGTGTGCAAATATTGAAATTTTCGAATACGAATAAGACAAAAAACGGGCTTCGAATATTGAATATCTGTCTTTTAATAAAAGAATTGGAAAACAAGAGCTAACACCAGGTTTTACTGCCTTTTTAAAATAGATCAATGCAACTGCATTTTACTGGGCTGCAGTAGGCTAAAGATGCTTCTAGCAATGCACTCATCACAAATTATCGTGTAGGAAAATTAACTGTTCAACGTGTTCAGAAAGTAAGCGCCTCCTACATGCCGTGCCAACATTTCCGCCAGCAGAAAGACCCATCCACTCGGGAAACCTGCGAAATTTTCCTAAAGTTCCAAGAACTTATGGTCAGTGTTGCCCGGCTGCTACACAAATATTTCAAATTTTGGGAAACAAATAATTTAGAAAGTAGTTTATTTTATAAAATGGCTACCAATGTTTACACCATATAAAAGCAAAAATATTCACTTTTGATGCTTTCGTTAGTTATTAACCAGTGTTGCCAATAAACCCAACAAATATTGCATGTTGGAAGTTAGAAAAAGTCGAGCTTAGTCTAACCCGAACCTGGGCAGGTTCACGACATCCCTAGTTTTGAGTGCGCGGGAGTGGCAGGAGTTGTTGTCGATGGCAATGCAATGTTCTGCTTGCACCTAGCTTTTTCTTCAAATTTTCAAACATTTATATTAGATAACACTCTCGAGATTTATTTTATATTTATATTTCACTCCCTATGTTTATTTTATTGTATGAATTTGTAGAATGCGCAATTACATCACATGTTGCTGCAAAAGCGTCGCGCAACAAAGGGCTTGGTGAAAAAGAAACGGAGCAGACCGATAACGCACGCATCATACGCCTTTCTCAGTGAATAACCTTATTCATAGGAGAATGCGTGGCAAGCAGATTATTCGTTCCTTGCTTGAATATTCGTAGTTTGTGCGAATATTCGTCGTTTTTCCCAAATATTTGGCTTTGGCCAATATTCGGGAACTTCCGATTATGCAATTTTTGAATCGAATATGTTTCGAATAAGGATAATATTCGGTTCGTATTTGAAATTTCGAATATTCACACAGCCCTAGTTGTATGCGTTTTTTGTGCGACGTGTGACTGGCACATTCTCAAGATCCCAGATTTTCCTTTAAGCTTTGAGATATTTACGAATCTTGTTCCAAGTCAACAGGCGTTTGTTGCCCACTATGTGCGGGGACAACTTTGAGTGGCAGAAGCCCCACTTTGGGTCCAATACAGATTGGTGTCAGCACACATGGCACATTCTAAGAGAAGATAGAGCGAGCGTTCTGAATGAGTGTCATCAACCAGTGCTGGGAGCGTTCCAGGTGGTTGAATGAGCCCCAGCGGGATCGGTGGCAGCTGGAAGCTAAGCCCAGCTGGAAGGCCACGCAACTTCCTTTGGCCGGTGAGAGCGGCAACTTTGAGATGAATCAAATAAAGAAATAATTAAAATGAAAGAAATAAAGTAAGAATCAACGAAAAAAAAAAGAAGTCAGATCAGAAATCCACAGGCCATACCATCCTAGTAAACATTACTTTTCGTTCTGCTACTCGTTTGTGTCGCATCTGCTTTTTCCTGGTTTCCCCACGGGGCACAATATTGGCAACGAGGAAAAGTATTCCCCTACTTTCATTTGCAAACGTTGTGAACTCTGGGTTAACGCCGCCATTCCTGCAAACAGCGGGCCAGCCTCCCATTCCATGGCCGCAGCGGGCCGTTCCAGCAGTTTCCCGTGGCACCGGCCAGCTCTTCTACTCTATTCCCTCGGAGTGGAAGGACCACCCGAGACGGGAGAATGTCCGCAAGCACGACAGATGAGTTCACCACGACGCTCGTGAGGCAGGCATCGTTTGAGCAGAGGACACAACGCCAGCCAATGCAAGTCCGGAGTGCACCCGAGATAGCCGGAAAATGAGAGTATGACGGCACCCCGAGAGATAGCCCGCCTAGAATCGAAATCGGGTGAAGGGGTGGGCTAACTTCCAGTGTGCGATCCAAAAACGCTTTAGATTCTGGGACTCGCTAAACTTGTGGCTGTAGACGACTGTCCTTCCCAAACAGCTCGCTTATCTCCCGCCTAGGCTAAGGAACGGCATTTCCACCAAGGTCGCCACTGGGCCCCGCAATTACAGTGCTAGGAATGGGCCATCTTTTCCTGTTTCAAAAAACAAAAGAGCAAATCGCGCCAAAAATGAGGGGGGTTACCTTTCGCGGGTTTTCAGGTAGTGTAGGGCATCTCGTCGGACAGACTATGGGAACGTTTGCCGTTGAAGGGGGTGCCGCCAACGGTCCAAAAGATTGTATCAACGACGAAGCATAACGAAGAAACTCGGTGCAACGTAAAAGAGTTTTCGGCCGAAGGGGCAGTGCAGCGAGTTACCCAACGACACGGAAGGGTGGACCAAGGATTGTGGCTCACAGGTTCACGTACCAAGTTGCGAGAATTGCGAGGCACGAGAAGACGGGGTGCTTCCAGATTGTGTCGAGGACCACACCGGTGGAACGGGACGCCAAGGAATATCACCCCGGAACCCAAGGTCGTACTAGCGTGGCGTCTACGTCGATCTGGAGGTCGAGACAGTGAGCCAGCACTTTCTGGTACATCGTATGTGTCGACCGAAGACGTCTACAGACGATGGGCGACCGAGCCTGGACTATTCGGATCGCAAGATTCGAGTCCGGGGGCGGTTCCTCGCCAACGTCCGGTACCAGAAACTCGCGACTAGGCTGCAATTTTGTGCGGTGACCGAGGGTACTATAGGTCTGGATGCGGTCTGCAATTCTCCACATCAAAGGGGCAACCCTGCAAGGTCTGCAAGCTGAGGAAGATGCAAACAAAGTTCTCGCATTTGTCTTCCACGGAGCTGGGTCTGGTTTCGCACGTCTGGTCGAGCGACGGGAGGCAGTCGAGTTGGTGGCATCCAGGTTGCGCCGGCCACCAACGGCATTGCGGGAAGCTGTGAACTCCGCCGACTTGAGCAAAGTGGCATTATCGAAAGAGTCGAGGCTTTGGAATGGATCTCATTAATTCTGGTCGTCGAGAAAAAGGACGGCACCATTAGGCTCTGCGTGGACTTGCGCGAGCCTAAGGAGGCCATCACTGTGGATGGATTTTCACTCCCTCACATTTTTCCAAGCCGGATCTGGCTCGGCCTATTACCGGGTTAACTGGCAGCTGAAGCCGGGAGCTAACAACAATCAACACAGACGATGGGCTTTCCCGGTTTTGAAGGCTGTGCTTGGGGTTGGTTCCTGCAGCTTTTCGGAGGATGAGGACCAAGCTCCTGGATGCCTGCGGAGGAGTGCTTTGTTATATGGACGATCCTATTTGGCAGGTCGGAGCATCGAGAAAATCTGTTGGAGGTCTTGCACCGCATTTCCACTGCAGGACTTGAACTGAACCAGAAATGCGAGTTTAACGTGCAAATGCCCGACTTTCTGGGGCACACTGCAAGTGTGTGAGGAGTTTCACACTCTAATGTTGAAGCTGTGGCAAGGGCCCCCATACCGCAAGATACAGCTGCTTCGCAATCCTTTTCGGGTTGCGTGGGCTACTACCGTATTTACTACTCGCATAATGAACGCGCCCCAGACAACAAGCACCAATATTTGGACTTTTGTTTCCCCTCTTGTAATGAATGCACTTTCTATTTCCAGCTCCGCGAGTCTCGAATTGCATCCAATTCACCGCTCTTGTAATGGCTGCAAGTGCGTAGTTGCAGAAGAGATCAAGCGTGAAACCGAACAGCGCACACACTTGACGAAGGTTGGGTCGAGAAATTGCCCAGCCCCGGACATTCCTCGCCTATCGGATGCACTGATGTTAAGGGCACAGGGTAAGGTAAAATTGAAAAAAAATCGATTTTAGTTTTTTTCGCAATCTGAAAAGTTTAGTTCTTTCTGCACATTTTCCATTGTCCCAGTGTTTTTAGAAAGCTATATTTCGGGCTGAAAATCACTTCTTCCGAAAGCAAGTAGCAGGTGACCATGCCTCCTTTTGGGATACACTCCCTGTTTAGCGATGAATTCTCCAACAAAACAAAATCAACACAAGACCTAAAAGCTTGTCCAGTAACAGATAATCTCAAAAAAATTATTTCGCAACTATTGCATAGCTTTCTT